CGGGCGGGGTTTGGCAGCAGCCGGAAGAGATGCTTCCCCTTCCCGGGCTGCGCTGCGGGGCCCCTGCTGGCCACTGTGGAAGGGGGGTAACAGTGGGTCAGTGTCTCCTGTGGAGGGAGGGGTGACTGCCCCTCTTTCCGGGTTGGCCAGAGAACTGCTGGCCTGGGTGGGGAAGGGGCCCTTTAGCGTCTCAGGGTTGGTGTTTCCTGGCGCGGGGCAGCCCCAGGGAGGCACAGCCTGGTGTGCTGGCCACTGTGTCACTTTCCATTTTGAGAAAAGTCTGTTTCTGTTTATTTGTGCACCCAGCCTGAAGTCAAGGCCCTTGCTGTGCCAGATCTCTCTCCCTCTCCCCCCCCCCCCAACACCAGACCCCCTGCTGTGCCTAGTACTGCTTAGCCACTGAGTGACATTCCGGGCCCTGCAGAGCTCGCCACCTAACCAGACAAAAGCTGTGAAGGGAAACTGAGGCAGGAAGGAGGATTTGCTGGAGGTTACAAAGCAGCACAGTGGTAGAGTCAATAATAGAAGCCTGGAATGTCAGCTGCCAGCCCACCCTGACTCATCCCCTCTGCTGAATTGCTGTGTAGGCAGGGTACTTCCCCGGCAGAGAGGGACGCATTAATTCTGTTAGACACAGCGGTGTTAGGCAGCGGTGACACACCTCAGCAATACCATGTGCAGGTCTGGTCACCCCAGTCAACAGCGGAGCTGGGTCCTAGGCTGATCAGAGGAATGAAGAGCCCAACAAAGAGAAGTACTTCTTTACACAACACACAGCCAATCTGTGGAGCTCCTAGCCACTGGACGTTGTGAAGGCCGAGACACTAGCAGGGTACAAAAAAGAGCTAGATACATTCCTGGAGGATGGGTCCATCAATGGCTATTAGTTGGATGGGCAGGAATAGTGAGTGATTCTTTAGCCTAGCCAGAGAAGGGATCTTGCTGTTCCTGCTATACCCTTGGAGGGGAGGGGAACCCCACAGAAGGACAAAAGCTATTAAAGTTTAAGTTGGCACAAGAACAAATGGGGATAAACTGGCCAGGGCTCAGCTGAGGCTAGAAGTGAGAAGAAGGTTTTTGTGTCTCAGAGAAGAGAGAGGCTGGAACAGCTGTTATGGGAACAAACACCCCTCTGGAGCTGGCTTCTTGGGGGCTGGGTGCCAATAGATCTGAGAGCCCAGGAGTTCCGTTCCAGTCTTATCTGGCCCTGTATAAGAGTGGAATCACCCTGGTATTTCCCTTTATGGATAGCTGGGGGACAGCAGTTCTTTCCTCACTACCGCCCCTTTCCCATGGTCACTCCACTGTGGTGCAGTTCCTCTTCTCCCCACCCCCACTCAGCCAGCTCATACCTCTGTTCTACACCTTTCGGGTACCAAAAGCCCAGCTTGTTGTCTGCATCCATATGCTGGATCTTTAGCAATCAGCTCTAGGCCCTGTGGTTCCTCCAGTCCTTTGCTTGAGGCTTTCAGTTACCCTTTCCCCCTGCTCAGAGGCCTCACAAGGCTAGAGGTTGGTTGGGAAGCTCAGCCCACCCTTTACACTAGGTTCCAGGCCCTTAGCACATGCAGCCAAGCTCTGCATCATCACACATCTTGTCACTGTCTCCATGGGCTCTGTCCAGGAATTGGGCTTTCTTCTGGTCTCATCCCCAGCTCCACTCTGGGCTCTATAACAAGCAGCAGCTTCCAAGGTTTCTCTCCACTGGAGCCTGCTTCAGTCCAGTGCCTTCCAGGTGTGCCATCTTCCCTCCTTTGGTAGATATGGTTGTGACAATTTTCTTCCACTATTTGACCTGAGGAAGTGGGTCTGGCCCACGAAAGCTCATCACCTAACAAACCATCTGGTTGGTCTTTAAAGTGCTACATAGTCCTGTTTTTTGTTTCATGCTACTCAGGGCTCTCTGTCCCTAAGGCAAGGCCAGCAGAGTAATTAGTACTAGCTCCTTTTTGCTCCACCCAGCTGGGCTTCATCTCCCCCCCACCCCCAGGTGCAATCAGATATATTAATAGGTCTCTCATGCCCAGGTTAACCCTTTCCTCACCCATGTGGGCTGACACTACTCCCATAGGCCGTCCTCTGTATGTCAAAAAGTCTGTGTGGGATGTACACTTATAGCGCAAACAGAGCCTTTTCTTCAGTATTTCCAAGAGAGAAACTCCTTTTAACCAGCCTTATTGGAGAGTTGTGTCCATGAGATTAAGACTGAGAGAAGGCAATCCTGAGTCGCACAGGGTCTATTTAGCCTGTGGGACTCACTGCCACCGGGCACAGTCAAGGTTGAAAACTCAGCAAGAGCCAAGAAGGGGTTGGCCATTTCTGTAGAAAAACAGAATCTGCAGTGTTGGATTTTCTTGATGCCAACACAGATCCTGTCAGGGAGATGAAATCTCAGGCTCCAGGGTTTGAGCCAATCTCTTCCCATTAGTGCGAGAGCAGCGGGAGGCTAATGGTCGGGGGGGCAGGTTATTCCCCATTGCCTACTGCATTGGTCACTGTCAGGGGCAGGATTCTGGGCTAACTGGTCCTTGACTCTGAGCCAATTTGGCAATTTCCATGTGTCTGTGAGTTCTGCAGGTTAACAGCTGTGCTTCGTGTTTGTCAGGGAACGCCAGCACTGCTCATCGGATCTATCCAGCCCAACAGGGGTTTGTCAGAAGTGTCCACAACCCGGCTGTTCTCATCAGGGCCTCATTCTCAGCTGTGGGGGCTCTGTCCTGACTTAGCTGGGGGAGGGAGATCTGTGCAGTTCCCAACACGAGGGCTCTGATTTCAGCCAGGGTCTGTGTAGCGCCTGGCACAATGGCAGGCCCGCCCTCACTTACTGACTCGGGGCTTAACGGGAAGACACTATAGCCCAGCATTGTGCCAAAGTGAAAGATAATTTGTAAACGAAACATGAAGCAAAACCACCTTTGCAGAGAGGATGCTGGGAGGGTGCCTGCAAAAGACTTCAGAAATGAGATTTCCCCGTAAAGGCTGTTCCTCCAGAGGCCTTGGCCATGCAAAGCCCATAGCCAGAAGGGGAGATTGCCCAGAAATAAAGGGTGCTGCCAAGAGCGATATGGCCCAAGGGGATGTGCTGTTGCCTGCAGGCTGCCTCTGCGGGTACCTCTCTGCTGGTGTGAGTGCATGTCTTGCTCTAGCAGAAGCAGGCTCAGCTCTTGCATTTCCTCTTTCTCCACATCCGCTCGCTGCAGGTTCTGTCTCCCACAACAGGCAGGGCCAGTCCACCAGTGCTTTCGCTTTGCTCTCCTGGGCCTGCTGCTCAACATGAGGCAGAATTAACCTGCAAGCTGCACCCACTGGCAGAGGGTTCCACAGGTTAAAGAGAGTGAGGAAAGTCTATGGGACACTCTTGCCTAAGCTGGGAAGCAAGGGATGTGTGTAGCTTACACTGCTCAGAGGGAATAATGGGTCCATTGCCCTGCCACTCCTGGGGGGCCCAATCCCCTGGGGCAGATGAGAAGATCAGGCCCTGTGCTTTTACACAAATCCCAATTAACTTGCAGAGCTTGTGTGGTCAGGAGGCCAAACTGAGAGAGGTGGCAGGACGCAGAGGTGGGCAATGAAGTCATTCACAGATAGAAACAAAATTAAGCAGTGTGGTCGCATGGAGTTTGGGGCTGGGATTCAGGTCAGCTGGGATTCTAGGTGTAGGTATGTCACCATCTTGCTGTGTGATGTTCCCCTCTGGACCTCCATTTCTCCTCCCATACTGCAGGGTAGATGGTCCCTTGTTTGGGGCTGGAGTTCTTCAGTTCTAGGTGTAGCTATGTCACCATCTTGCGCTGTGATGTTTCCCTCTGGGCCTCCATTTCCCCTCCCATACTGCAGGGTAGATTGTCCCTTGTTTGGGGCTGGAGTTCTTCAGGGCAGGAAGCGTCTCTCGCTGTATGCCTGTGTCATACATGGCATAATGAGGACCCTGCTTTTATACTTACACTCTGGCTTCTAAACCCTAGAACGTGATGGGTGCCCCTAAAGGGCTCATACACATTTTAAAGGGATATTCTCTTATTTCTTTACCAAGTTTACAGGGTCTCTAGGCACTACTTTAATACTCCAAATAGCAGGGCATACACATCTCCCTGCATGGAGGTACTGATGGAGCCTCTCCCCTGCCATGGGGGGGATGGGGAGCAAAGGAATAATGAGCATTTACAAAAGCAGAAGTGTCACTTCTGCTAAACTCTGTATTCTGGGTTACTTCCCTTCCTGGCTGGGGGGCAGGGCTAGTCATCTTCCATGCATGTAGCACCGCCTGCTGGTGTTGGGGGTGCACACAGGTAGGGTCAATCCAGAGGGCACTGGACAGGTTGTGTGTGTGTTTTGTCTCCCCCCTCCCAGCAATTCTGCTCCCTCCCACCAGGAAGGGGTGTCTGTGGCTCAGGGCAGGGCCAAGAGGATTTGGGGCTGGGGAGGGGGCAAAGGGGAGAAAAGGTTTGGGATTTAAAGACTGATATTTCTAACGACCACCACCCAACCTTGTATTCTTGTGCTCTTCTCCCCGCCCCCATCTTACTTGTGGGTCCGGCTAGCCTAGGATCCCCCATCTCAGAATAAAGATAATCGGGTCACCCTCACAACACTTAGGGGAACAGGATTAGCCAGATGGCCCCAGCCTGTCTTCTGGCCTCCCTATGTCAGATGAGGGGAGGACTGGGGCAGTTCTGCTCCCAGCATGGCCTGTTCTCCCAGCCATGTTCCTCCAGCCAGGGGGCTCTTGAGCTGAGTGGCCATACACAGAGGGGAAGGGGTTTGTCATCTGGTTCATGTCTCTCTCTCCTCCCCAGTTTGTTAAGTGCGGCTTTGCTGGCTCCAACTTCCCTGAGCACATCTTCCCCGCACTGGTCGGGCGCCCAATCATCCGCTCCACTGCCCGCGTGGGCAACATCGAGATCAAGGTAAGGGTCTGGCAGGGCTGGGAGGGGGGAGTCCCACAGGTCTCAGGTATGCAGAGGGGTGCCTGGGGCCTTGAAGGGAGAACTCTTGGGGGAGAGCTCCGCTAGAAGTCTAGAGGAAAGGGGCTCAGAGAGGGGCCCCAGTAATGGGGTGGCCAAAGTACTGGTGTCTAAAACCCCATCCTCTCTCCCCCAGGACCTGATGGTGGGGGATGAGGCCAGCGAGCTGCGCTCCATGCTGGAGGTGAACTACCCCATGGAGAATGGCATCGTGCGCAGCTGGGACGACATGAAGTACCTGTGGGACTACACCTTTGGGCCCGAGAAACTCAACGTCGACCCCCGCAGCTGCAAGATCCTGCTCACTGAGCCCCCCATGAACCCCACCAAGAACCGCGAGAAGATCATAGAGGTGAGGCTGGGCTGCAGGGCAGGACTGAGGGGCCAGTGTTGGCTGAGCTTGAGGGACATGGCGGGAGGAGCCCAGGGCTGGGGTTGTAAGGGCGGGAGGTTGGCACTGAAGGGCATCAGCTGGACTGTGCCCATGGTTTCTCCTCTTCCCCCAGGTGATGTTTGAGACATACCAGTTTGAAGGCGTGTATATCGCTATCCAGGCGGTGCTGACGCTCTACGCCCAGGGTGAGGAGTGTGGGGGCTGGAGCAGGTGTGGGGGCAGGGAGGGTGGAGAGGTATGGGGGTAGGAGAGGGGAGGGCAGGGCAGAGTCGAGGCAGCACATGGAATTCAGGGGAAGGTGCTACAGTGGGTAAATCTACCCTGTCATATGGCAGGTGAGTGAAGCTGCCACCAGGAGGAAGGGGGTGGAGGGCTCTACAGGTCAGGCTAGATGATCTGACTGTCTTTTGGGTCTGTGAATGGCTGGCAGGGCATCAGGCAGGCACCATGGGGATTTCTTAAAGCACAGGGGCACCCAAATGTTAAAATCAGTGAGGCTCAAACTGTCCCTTTTGAAACTGGATCTCTGGCCCCTGAGTTGCTCAAGTGCTTTTGTAAAATTGCCCATCATTGATGCACTGCACCAGCCTGCGGTGCTGAACTGGGCCAGGTCCCCTCTGGGAAGAGACCCTCAGCTGGGCCAGCACTGAAACTCCGGTGTCTGGCTGTACAAAGAACAGGCTGGAGCACAGCAAGAGATGGAGGATAAGCAAGATGCGGGGGAAGGGCGGGTGGGCAGCATGCTGCAGCCACTAACAAGGGCTCAGGGCTGGGGAATGCAAAGGATCTGGGCCTGGGACAGCACTCCAATGGAGAGAGAATGGGGGAAGGGTGCAGCAAGGGGGAAGGATCCAGGGTGGGAGGTACTAAAGTGAACGTAGTGGGAGCATCTGCTTTCCTCCTCCCATCTTTAGTGAAAGGCAAGGGGGCCAATTCCCAGCCAATCAGAGGGGGAGATTTCCCAGCCCAAGTGGGGTTAGCCTGTGGAACTCACTGCCACAGGGTGTCCTGCAGGATGAGAACAAGCAGGGCTCAGGGAAGGAAGTGAGGGAGAAACCAGGGAAGCCCTGCTGCAGGAGGGCAAGCAGGAGAGACATTCCCTTTGCGCATGTTACTTCCTGTTTGGCCATTAAAGAGCTATTGTCACCTTTTCCCTGAAGAGGGCAGTCCAGGTGCCTTTGGAGGTTGGATACCAAGGTAAATGGGTGCATTGCCTCTGCTCACAGTAACCTCCCTCTCCCATTTCAGGCCTGCTGACTGGGGTGGTGGTGGACTCTGGGGATGGCGTGACCCACATCTGCCCTGTCTATGAGGGCTTCTCTCTGCCCCACCTCACCCGGCGGTTGGACATTGCAGGACGGGACATCACCCGGTACCTCATCAAGGTGAGAGTCGGGTGTGGATGCATCCTAGGCTGGCTGGCTGCCCATCGGACTGCCATGAGGGGAATCCACGCCTCGGGCTCCTAAGATGTTTCAAGCATCCCAGAACCTGTATGGAGCCCAGCCCCTGCGCTGAGGGGTGAGCCTTCTGGGGGCAGCTCAGCACCTGCAGGAGCCCCACAGGGCCAGACACCATCCAGCGACTCCACTGCTGTGGCACAGAGCTCAGACCTAGCCTCCTGCCCACAGCGCCTATTGCTAGCTCTCCCTTCCCTGGCTGGTCTCCAGCAGGGCCTCTGTCTCAAAGCTTCTCCCTCTGCTGGAGCTGCTGAAAATGGCCCAAGCCTCCCAAGAGCTCAGCTCCCCCCTTTTATAACTGTCCAGCCTCTGCTGTCGGGGGACCCTCTCATCAGCTGTCCCAGGCGAGCTCGGCCCAGCCAGGTGACCTCGCTGCCCAGGCTGCCTCACTCCCTGTCTCCCCCACGACCCAGCTCTCCTGGGGAGCCAGTATGACTGGAGTTAGCCCGGTGCTGTGGCTGAGCATGCCACCTCAGCAATGCTGTTGCCCCTTCACTGCTGGCCTTGGGGATCTGCCCGCCATGGGGGCCAACAGGTGAAAGGCTGCACCTCAAGGGAGCGTCCCGCGTGGGAAGGAGCCAGGCAGCGAGTGCCTGATCCCGCCTAGAGTGCCTGGATTGTACCCACGTGCTCCCCAAACCCTCCCAGGTAGACTGAAGGGGGTGGGACATTGATGGGAGGGGCTCCAGCAGCTCCTGTCACTATGGTCTCCCCCTCTGTCAGCTGCTGGTACTGCAGGCGCCCCCATGACTCGGTTTCCCTCTATTGTTAGCTCCTGTTGCTGCGGGGTTACGCCTTTAACCACTCTGCGGATTTTGAGACGGTGCGGATGATGAAGGAGAAGCTCTGCTATGTGGGGTACAACATCGAGCAGGAGCAGAAGCTGGCTCAGGAGACCACAGTGCTGGTGGAGTCTTACATGGTGAGAGTGCAGCTGAGTGGGCGGGCCTCTACTTGGTGGATGGGTAGGTCACTCCTGCCCATTGAGGGTGCATCTACACTGCACCCAGAGCTCAAAATAAGCTACACAGTTTGAGCTACACTTCGAGTTAATTTCAAAATACCTTATTTTGAAATTTGGCGCTGTCTATACAGTGCCACATGTAGAAATACAGCGCTCTTCTGAAACGTCTCTTGCTCCTCGTGGGACGAGGTTTACAGAGACATCAGAGTAGCAAGACCCCTATAGTTCGAAATAACAGATTTGCTCAAAGTGCAGAATAGCTATTTTGGGATACCAGAAGTATCCTGAAATAGCTCCAGAGAGTAGCCTGAGATACGGTTGCTGGGAGGGTGGCATCTTAGAGCAGGAGGGCTGGGAGTTAACACTCCATTGGGATGCCTGGGGCAAGTCACCCACATGGAGCAAAAGTTCAGGCTCTCTGCACACTCTGGCAGTGCTGCTGACAGACTTTCCCTCTGCTTCCCTCACCCAGCTGCCCGATGGGCGTGTGATCAAGGTTGGGGGTGAACGGTTTGAGGCGCCTGAGGCCCTGTTCCAGCCCCACCTCATCAATGTGGAGGGTGTAGGGGTAGCCGAACTGCTCTTTAACACCATCCAGGCAGCTGATATTGACACCAGGTGAGCAAAGGGGTGGGAGGTGGAGTCTGGAGCTGATACCCTCCCGCCCCCTGCAAACTGGGCTGTTGGGAGGAGCTTGTAGGCAGTGTGTGTGTGTGTGTGTGTGTGTGTGTGTGTGTGGTAGTAGGGAAGGTGATGGGATTATTGGGGATTGGAAGGTTCTTGGTGGATCCTA